CACAACGCCCAGCTATTTTTTGGTTGCAGCCGTCATTGTTGTTTGGCGGGCCCAGGCTGGATTCAAACCCGCCACCTTGGGTGTACATGGCTGGTGCCTTAGCCACTTGAGCCACAGGCCCCGAGCCTGTGTTTATGTTTTAAACAGTGCCCCTGTGGTTTCAGCAGATTTCTGAGCTGGGTGTGATGCATGTGTACCATCTGACCTTTTGCCCCAGAAGCCCAGGGACACATTTACAATAACTGGCTCTTCAGGGTTAGTTAAAAGCAGAGGAGCACATGCCTTTGTTTCTGAGTTCCATGGAGAGTCCTCTGGAAGGTAGGATGAGGGGTTGGTCTCCATTCCACAGTTCTTCAGACTTTCAAAGGGAGACAACAAATGGTTCAAAAGCCTAGGTGTCACTGGTCAAAGGACCAGCACTGGAAGAGTTTGGGACCTATTCCAAGTATAATCCCCTCTTTGCAGGAACCTGAGTGTTTGAGGGGTAGAAAAGGGGTCTGGCCCTGATGGCATGTGGTTAGGAATCAAATTTGTGCTCTTTGTCTATAAGGGATGGCTTCAAGGTTTTTGTTTTGAGACCCTGTGCCCTGAGCAGAGTGCCATGGTGACATCATAGCAACTTCAGACTCATGCGCTGCAGGGATCCTACTGCATCAGCCTCCCCAGTAGCAGGAACTACCAGTTGGGTTTATTTTATTATTCTTATTATTTTTGAGACAGAGCCTCAAGCTGTCACCTTGGGTAGAGTGCCGTGGCATCATAGTTCACAGCAACCCCGAACTCCTGGGCTCAAGCAATTCTCTTGTCTCTGCCTCCCAAGTAGCTGGGACTATAGGCGCCCACCACAACGCCCAGCTATTTTTTGGTTGCAGCTGTCATTGTTGTTTGGCGGGCCGGGCTGGATTCTAACCCGCCAGCTCAGGTGTATGTGGCTGGCGCCTTAGCCACTTGAGCCACAGGTGCCGAGCCAGGGTTTTTTATTTTTTGTGGAAATGGGGTCTTGCTCTCAATCAGAAAAGTCTCAAGCTCTTGAGCTCAAGCAATCCTCCCACCTGAGCCTCCCAGGGTGTTAGTTAGGATTATGTGCATGAGCCACTACACCCAGCTGGCTGCAAGCTTTTGGAGACCATGGGATAGAGCCACCTTTGCAGGGTCATGATACATGGCCACACTCCTTTCCTCAGCAACAGGCAGCACTTCCTGCCTTAATTTCCCCATTGGCTACACTTTCATGGCCAGTATCTACAAAGGCTCATATCCCAGTAGAGTTGCTGCTGGAGGACAGCCACACCTTTCCCACTTCACCAAGGTTTCTGGCTGCCCCACCCACCTCTATAAATGAAAAGGATATAGGCATCCCACTCCTTTACTGGGCCCCAGACTGGCTCCAACTTTACCCTGTGTCTCCTTGAGGAGACCTGGGTTGAAATCAAGTTCCTGAACTTCTGTGACAATAACTCCTAATGGCATGTCTGCATATGTTCAGTATCATCTACATTATATTAGGGTGAAAGGGTATCTAGTTGTTACTATTCACACAAATGTTTATAGAGACTGGAATTGCCATACTCAGTGGCATGTGCTTGTAGTCCCACCTACTTGGGAGGCTGAGATACTGGTAGGAAGACCACTTGAGTCCAGGAGTTCTGGGCTACAGTGTGCTATGTTGATTGGGTGTCCACACTAAGTTTGGCAGCATCAATATGGTGACCTCCTGGAGTGGGGGTCCACCAGGTTGTCTAAGGAGGGGTGAACTGGTCCAGGTCAGAAATGGAGCAGGTCAAAACTCCCATGCTGATCAGAAGTGGGATTGTGTCTGTGAATAGCCACTGCACTCCAGCCTGGACAACATAGTGAGACCCTGTTTCTTAAAAAAAAAAAGAAAGAAAGAAAAAGCAGCAGCAGCTGAGATTGGTCACTCTTGTAATCCTTACATTTTGGAAGGCTAAGGCAGTAGGATTATTTGAGGCCAGGAGTTTGAGATGAGCCTGAACAATATAGCAAGTGCTTGCCACTACAGAAAATAATTAGCTGTGTGTAGTGACACATGCCTGTAGTCCTTGGGAGGCTAAGGCAGGAGGAGCACTTGAGTCCAGAGTCCAGAAGTTTGAGATTGTAGTGATCTATGATAACACCTGTGCAATATAGCCCCAGCAACAGGGCAAGACCCTGTCTCAAAAAACCCCAAAAAACTTAAAAGTCTTTCTAAACCTCTTTCTAAACCTGACCCTTGCAGCCTGGAGTTAGGAAAGGATGATTAAACAGTCAAAATCCACATCGCTATGCAGGAACTACTCGCATATTATAAATTATAAATGCTAATTTGTTTTTCCCAATAAAAAGACCATTAATTTCCTAGGATGTAAGGCCCCAAGTAGGGAAGAGGCCTGGTCTGCTGAATCCCCCAGAAAGCAAAATGGGGAAAGATCTACTCCCCTCACCTACAATTGCACCCTTTTGTCCCTACCACATGGAGCATTACTAGGGAGAAATGGAGCTCAGAAAGGTGTCATACAAGGCCTTAGGTAATGGCAACTCCCTTCTATTCAGCTCTCTGTTCACCATATAATTGAGGAGGGAGAACAGGCCACGTGGCCACCAAGCCCAGCAAAAGTGAGCAGTTCTCTTTTTTCTTTGAAGTTACTGGGTTTTTTTTTTTTCATTTGTTTTTGAGACAGTCTCACTTGGTCACCCTTGGTAGAGTGCTATGGCATCTTAGCTCACAGCAACCTCAAACTTTTGGGTTCAAGTGATTCTCTTGCCTCAGCCTCCCAAGTAGCTGGGACTATATGCCACAGCACAGGCAATCCACCCACCAAAGCCTCCCAAGTGCTTGGATTACAGGGGTGAGCCACCACGCCAGCTGAAGTTCTCACCTTAGATAAAAAAGTTCCTCATAATGTTAAAATTGGTAATTACAGTCATTGACAGACCTTAGCCAATGATGATACTTGGATAAGAATGTGAATACATGCCACTGGAGATCGATTACCTTGGATCTGTGTTTCCAATGCTGAGAGCCACATTGTCTCCAGAAGGCTTCCACAGCCTGAGTTGGCTGTGTGTGGGGAGCCAGGCCATGCCATTAACCCAAGAAGTTAAGAGCACAGCCCAAGAGGTGATGCCAGTCTACCTGGGTTTGAGTCCAAGCTTTGCTGTTAGAAATAGCAGGCACAGAAGCTACCTTATAGGGCTGTGGAGAAACATCTCAGCACTCAAAACAGGAGCTTGTAGCAAACATGTGTTGATTATCAAAGTGTCTGCCAACATGATGCTCAGTAAACTCATCTTTTTTTCTGTTTCCCAGAGAAGGAAGCTGGAATTTGGTGCCTAGCCACTTGCTCAAGGCCAGTACCAACCCCACTGCCCTATGCCTTTCTGAGGCTGGGCCTCAGAAGCCTTGGATGAACCGAGTTCTGAGGGGGAGATATCCTCAGCATCTGTCCAGCCGCAGGTTGTGTGCAGATATCTGAAGGTTCTCTGACCCTCCTTGGCCCCCCATGCCTACATTTGCTCTCCTCACCCCTGTCAAAATACACCTGAAGCATCCTCACTGTGTAAAACTGCCTTTGTTGGCCTCCCACTGGCTCTGACTACAGTCTTGGCCCACCAGAATCCCAGCCAGCTTGTCCTACCTACCCTGTTTCTGCACTGTGACCTCTTTGGGGATGGAAGTGTGAGCTGGGGCTGAATGGCAAATCCTGTCATCACATGCAAATGGAACCACAGCCACTGGGTCTTGCTCCTGCCTGACGCAAAGGCACAGGGATTTCCCAGGATTTCTAGAGGACATGGGTCTGGTAGCTGAAGAAGGGATTCACAGAATGCCTGAGAAGCGCGAGGCTATGACCTCAGGCTTCTGCTTCCTTCCCTGACGCACCTTTCCATGATGCACACGACAGACATCTGCCCTAGGCGTGCAGGCCAGCCCTGCCCTGGAAGATTTCTCACCAGTGTGGATCCTCTGGTGGTGCAAAAGAGCTGGGCGCTCCCGGAAGGTGCGGCCACACTGTGCACACAGAAAGGGCTTCTCGCCAGTGTGTATGCGCCGGTGGCTGAGCAGCACTGTGCCTTTAGCAAAGGCTTTGCCACAGTCCACGCAACGGAAGGGCCGCTCACCCGTGTGCAGCAGCTGGTGTTGTGTGAGGTTGGAGCTGCGGCTAAAGGTGCGTCCACACTGTGTGCAGGAGAAGGGCTTCTCCCCAGTGTGCACACGCTGGTGCAAAAAGAGCGAGGAGCCCTGACTGAAGGCAGCACCACAGAGTGCGCAGGAAAAGGGCTTCTCTCCCGTGTGCGTGCGCTCATGTTGGATCAAGTGTGAGTTGCGGCAGAAGCGGCGGCCGCACTGCCCACAGGCATAGGGCCGCCCGCCCGCGTGGATCTTGCGGTGCTGGCTAAGGTTGGAGCCGTGACTGAAGGCTTTGCCGCACTCACTGCAACTGAAGGCCTTCTCTGCGGTGTGGATGCGCTGGTGCCGCACCAGCGATGAGCTGTGCCGGAAGGCCTTGCCGCACGCTGCGCACGCGTAGGGCGTCTCCCCACTGTGGATACGCTGGTGCTGCGTCAGGTGCGAGGTCTGGCTGAAGGCCTTGCCACACTGTGCGCACTCGTAGGGGCGCTCCCCAGTGTGGGTGCGCAGGTGCTTGAGGAGGTCTGAGCTCTTCACGAACACTTTGGTGCACGCCCTGCATTCAAAGGGCTTCTCCCCAGGGAGGCCGGGGCCAGTGTTCAGAGCCTCGCCCAGTTCATCCCAGGTTGGGGGCATCTGGTCGCTGGGGAGTCTCTGGGGTTTGAGCCACTCCGCACTTACTCTGCGTTCCTGGGTACCGCTAACAGCCCCTGGGTCCGGGACCGTTGGAAAAGGTCTCCCAGGGGCCTCCCGGGAGGACAGCTTATGCTGCTCCAGCCGCTGGGGCTGCATCCTTGGCTCAGTGTGGCCTGGGTGGGCCTTTGTGAACCCGGTGCCCTCAGGAAGCCTTAAGGGGGATGTCAGTCGCAGGCTGACGCTTGCCTGGCCAGTGCCTGAGCTGAGCAGGAGACTCTCCCAGTAGACCATCGACACCCCTGTGGGTTTTCGCTCCTGTGACAGGGAGGCGCCCTGTTCTCCCCCCTGGCTTTTTGCACTGTGCCAGGCACCAACATCAGGGATGGCCCCTTGTGAGGCTGCTTCTCTGGAAACATTTCTGTCCTCTGCCAAATGCCGGGAACCTGAAGGTAGAGAAATGGTGGCTACCTGGGATATCCTGGCCAAGAGGTGACCAAAGAAGGCTGAGTGGACAGGCAAGAGGGATGCCACGGGTAGTAGTTTAGGGAAAAGGGGAAGCTGAGGCCCCCATGGGGTAGGTGTTGGGGGACTTGGGACAGCATCTGCACTGGTAAGTGTGTAACTCACTCTATCCGAGGCTCCCACAATGTAGGCACCACCTGCCAATGCTCAAACATGAAGGTGAGGAAAGCTGAGTACATGCTGTGTGCCACCCAATGGTGGCAGCTGCTCCTCCCCTTCCAAGACTCGCTTCCTTCTCCCTGAGTGCTCCTCCCTCAGGCACTGCCACCCCAGTCAGCTTTTGCTCCTGGCACTGACCATCATCTAATGCTGTAGATTCATTCACAAACCCTGCTCACCTACTGCCTCTCTGGGGACCAGTCTGCCTCACAAAAGCAGGACCAGAGAGTCCTGGCTGAGGCTGGTTCTACAGGACCTGAGATCGGGCTGGCCGCCACAGATGTTCAAGAAACACTTGATGAACACAAACATGAAGAGAAAGAACTGACTCCACAAGTGTGGCAGGCATACATGGAGGGTTTGAGGCCACATAATCCAGCTGAAGGCAGGACTCTGGGCAGGTCTCACCACTGTCTGGGGAGACCCTGTGTGTGAAGCGGGCCCCTGTGCCCTTGGAGCTCTTCTTCCAGGGCAGTTAAGGCTGTAGCCTCCAGGAAAGGCTGATGATGGAAAGGAAAGCAATCGGGTGGGAGGTGGGAGAGGAAGTGTGTCTAGGGGTCAGGAAGGGGGCCAAGAGGCTTGGCCACAGGTTGGTCCTAAGTTCACCCCATGTGAGCTCCCACTCACCAGGATTGCGCCTCCCCTGTGCGTTCCTGGCTGGGGTTGAGTCAATCCTGCTGGGAACCCAGGGCTCTTCGCCTCGCTCCAGTTGGACAACCACACGAGGTCGGGAAGTAGAGAGTCCTTTGAGAAGGAGGAACGAATGAGAGGCCAGCCCTGCCTCAGGGCCACCCACCTCCCAACAGAGGACAGGAATCAGGGCTTCATGGAAAGGAATCTTCCTGGCTGGGGGCTGTGGCTCATGCCTGTAATCCTAGCACTGTACGATGCTTGAGCTCAAGAGTTTGAGACTAGCCTGAGCAAGAGCAAGAGCTTGTCTCTACTAAAAATAGAAAATTAGCAGGGCATGGTGGCACAGGTCTGTAGTCCCAGCTACTTGGGAGGCTGAGGCAAGAGGTTCTCTTGAGCCCAAGGGTTTGAGGTTGCTGTGAGCTAGGATGCCACCATGGCACTCAACCCCAGGGTGACAGAGTGAGACTTTGGCATAAAAAAAGGAAAGAAAAGAAAAGAAGAAAGGGATCATGTCATTTTTGCAACCAGGAGAACCTGAAGATGGCATCATTGCAAGGGAATTAATGGAACAGCTCATGGGTCCCCAGGCATGGAAACATGACAGCTAAAGGGATGCTATGAGTGGTTGAGTCACCCAGACTGCTGGCCCATGTGGGGCCAGGTCTGAAGGTATAGGCCTGCTCCTGGCTCCCAGGAAGGTGAGGACACAGTCCTAGCAGGCCAGCCTATCATTAAGTACACTTCCCACGAAGAACCAAGGCCTTACCCAATGAGGACACAAGTGTGAAGTTTTCCAGCATCACATGGTGGTATAGGGCCTTCTGGGCTGTGTCCAGAAGCCTCCACTCCTCCTGGGAGAAGTATACAGCTACATCCTCAAAGGTCATCAGGCCCTATAACAGCAACCAAGGGGAGATACACATGGTCTAAGCCTTATTTAATTAGGTATGGCTGTGTAACCCAGGACCAAGCTCCCCTCTGATGGCTACTTTCCCAGGTGTCCCTTGGCCACTCGTCCTTCTTTCTTGTTTCTGTCTTAGCACTGTCTTCAGATGGCACTTCCCTCATCTGTCTGGGCATCCTCCCCTCTGCTCTCCTTGTCTGGGCAACTGATACCTATGGCCCCTCCCAAATGGGCTCCTCTACACCAGCAAGTCAGAACAAGCCCTGGGGTCTAGGGTTGCTGCCACACCAAGGACAGCTCTAGGTGCCCACTCATGTCTCAGCATGACCATGCCTGACCCTCCCCAGACAGGCCCTTCCTGCTCTTGTACCAAGCAACAGTGTAAGTCCCAGCCATGTACCCCCACGGCATGCCCATTCTGGGGCCCTCCCCTGTTGTGCTTGCCTTACACTTCCAGGTTGCTCCTCCAGCCTGTGGGACTAAATGATCCTGACGGGGGTTGGGGTGGTGGCCCCAAGAACCGGGTGAACTTCTCTTTGCTCCTTTCACACTAGTGCCCCTCAATTTCTTTCTTTTTTTTCCTGTCCCTCATCCACTTACCTCAATGTCTTTCTACTCTGCTGCCACCCTCTCCTCCCCTCCCTCAACCCTGCCATACCTGCAGGCACCCCAACACACACTTCTCACCTTGAGCCCTAACTGTCTATCCCTGGCCCAGGCCCTGCCATCACCCCATCCTCAGTGCAATTCATAGGCACTGCTTTGGCCCAGAACGCCCACGACATCAGATCCAGGGACCCCTCCACTCCAGGATGCCACAGAATCCTTATGCTCCTCCTGAGTGAAAGCCCTCTTGCTTCACATCCTCCTCTCTGTCTACAGCAGTTCCATTTCTCTAGGGCTCAGGCTGAAGAACCCAGCGTTTCTTAGTCACATCACTCGCTCATATCCCACACCTGACAGCAGCAGCGGTACCAGGGTTCAACTGCCCCCCCCCCATGTAGCCCAGGTGTCCACTGCTCCCCCAACTGTGGCCGTAACCTCTTGCATTCACGCCGACATCCCCACCCAGCAAACTGTGGAACGGAGTTTTTAAAATCCCAACATAGCGGATGTCAAGATTCTGTTCAAAACCTTTCCTGACTCTCGCTGCCCTGGAGGTGAGGTCTACCTCCTTGGCTGGCCTTTCAGGCACTCACATCTCCACCCCCTTAGCGCCACATTGAGAAGGCTCAGTTCAGAAGCACTCTGCGCTCAGTCTCCCTCCCAGGTCTTATACTTGCGGGACCCTCCCCCGAACTTCCATCACCGCCTTACGCGCACGGGTGCCCTAAGTCCGGTCCTACACACGCCCGCCCCTGTGACCTGGACGCCGGGTTGGGGACGAAGTCCCTCTCTGCTCGCTTTTGGACAGCCGGAGACGAAAGCGACGCGGGGAAGTCGTCCAGGTAGAGTCATTTCCTCGCTGGGGCGCAGGTCCTCGTGAGGGTGGTCCCTCCACCCTAAATAGCCAGGTTCATTAACGCCGCGGCCGCCGCCTACACAAGGCGCAGAGAGAGGCCAGAGCTGGGGTACAACCCGCGCGCCGCCAGGCGCTGTCCGCAGCCGGCTGTGGGCCTCAAGTCTCTCGGGCAGTCACAGGCGAAGAACGCCCAGGGAGTTGCGTCGGGGCTGCCGCGGGGGCGGGAAACTCTTGGCCCTACCCCACCTCCGCCACACGCAGGCTGCGAAGTGGAACAGGCAGTCACGACACGCGCCTAGCTCCCCTCTGCTAGTGCCTCCCGTGCTGCCCCCGCCTAAGGTCCAGGGACCTCCTGGACACAGGCGGGGCCCCTCCGCCCCAGTCCCGATCGCTGGTGCTGCCTGACATCTGGCGCCGCAGCGACAGTCCCGCACGCCGGAAGTCCGGCCCTCCGGCCTCTCATTGAACCAATTCGCGCCAGGGGTGGATTTAGTGCGGCCTGCTTTCCTGCCCCTAGGCGGTGCTGTTACCGATCTCCATGGCAACGGCCCAGCTTTGCCGCGGGGCGTGGGAAATGACAGTCCTGCTACCCAGCTCGGATCCCGCGCATTCTGACGTCTGGTACCGCAGCCTGGCTGCTAGTCCTGCCTCACGCGTTCTCGGTTCTCTTCGTCCCTTCGCGCGGTTCCGAGACCTAACCTTGGAGCTGGGCAAGCGGTGGCAGCTGTAGAAGCCACAGCAGCGAGTGGCGCAAAGGGCGTCTCGTTCTGGGAAATGTAGGCTAAGGGGTGTGGGCCAGAGCTTGGGGTTCACATCCCAGCTCTACCTCCTCCGCCTTGGGCAGGGGCTTTGACCTGTCCGCGCATCAGTTTCCTGTGGACGTTTCAGGTCCGTTTTACGACACTTGGCCCAAGAATTGCCAACCCCAAAGCCTACGTTTTTCTTGCGTCTGGGATTGTTTTTGGATGCTTGCCCGGATCATCCATCCCTCTTCCCTGTAGACTTGATCTCCTAGAAGGTGCTTTCCTTAGTCTTGCTTGTCTCCAGGACAGCCGGGTCTTGCCTGGCCCCACACAGCACAAGATGGACTCTGTGGTTTTTCTCCTCAGGCCGGTTCTCGGTGAGACACGCGAATCTAGTGGCAGCACGTTCTTACAGTAGAGACGCTACGCTGCCCAGTTTTGGGGAAGAATAAAAGTTTTTTTCGCGGATGCTGCACTGTGAGGGTCTGATTTTTAGGATCCGTAGACTGTCCTCGTGTGTGAAGTTGCTTAATTTGTTTTGCCTCCCTGTATAACTGTCTCCTCGTGTAACTATAATTCATCTACTGTCCATAGAGTTGGTAGTGTTTGTAAATCTTATAGGGCAAGAGAGCTCTATCAATTTTGGAATTCTTGTACGTAACATTTTGCCCACCGTCTTTTTCTTTCTTTTTTTTTTTTT